GTCTTTCGCTTTTAGAGCTATGTGTATGCACAGCTTTGATAACAATATTAAAAGTCAAGCACTATCAAACCTCACAGCTACGCCCCAGGTGGCCCACACAATCTAGACACTATTTCACATGCATCCGGAAGTCTAATAACTCACCTGAGAGTCCTGCAGATCTGAGCCCGGCAGAGGGGGATGAATTATCCTCTCATGGCCCTTCTGGCCAGGCCCCTGGCTTCGCTGTCTCACACCTCTGTGATTTACCTTGCCCAGCCTCTCCAAATCAACTAGGAAAGGAGAGAGCTATTGCCCTCTGCAGGGAGCTGTTGTTTGCTGGGCACCCCCTCCTCCGCATCTGACCGAGGCTCCCACCTGATGCCTGGGTCCACTGATTCCTTCTCCCGGGTGGTGGGAGATGCCCCTGGAGTACACAGCTCACACATGGATGGCTTACATACATCCCAAGGGTCAGCAAGGAAGAATCTTGTTGGACGAGTGGTGCACTCTGTAGCCCCAGCACGAAGAAGGCTGAGGCATGCAGAGTTCGAAAAAGCCAGCCTGGACTATCCAGTGAGTTCCAGGCCAGCCAGACCTACACAGGGAGACCCCTTTTTCAAAAACAGAAAACAAGGCACGAAGCGGCAACTCAGATCCATGCATCACTCAGACGGAGATTAACACAGAGACCCACAGCCGGACAATGTGCAGAGAGTGAGAGACTTTGATGTCTTCGTCAAAGCCCCCGGGGATGTATGTGAAGACTGTAGCAGACAGAGGAATGGGCGACTCCAAGGAGAACGACATCCTCCAGACACAACAGGACTGACACCCATCTGAACTCGCAGAGACTGTGGCAGCATGCACAAGGACTGAGCATGTTCAAACCGGATAAAACCGGCACTGAGAAAGGGAAGGTAGACTCAAAGTCCCGCTCCTAGTCAAGAAGATATTTGCAATTGACACCTGCAAGGGGGGGGGTGTCAGATTTGTCTTCAATGGAGTGTTACCACGTGTGTCAACCACACTTCCGGCAGGCCTGTGTCCAGTTCAAACACAACACATGTTTTTTGCGCATGCACTTTTGGTTTGTTTTGGTATTTTCTTTTGTCTTATTGGGGTTTTTGTTTGTTGTTTTGTTTGGTCCTGCTTTTTTTTTCTTTTTTAGAGAAAGAAAAGGACATGGAGTTGGGAGGTGAGGGAGAAACTGGGGGAGGGGAATGAATACGATCAAATATTGTGTGATAAAAAGTCTCCCTCCCACCCCGGGCATTGGTGGCACGTGCCTTTAATGCCAGCACTCGGGAAGCAGAGGCAGGCGGATCTCTGTGAGTTCAAGACCAGCCTGGTCTCCAGAGTGAGTGCCTGGCAGACTCCAAAGCTACACAGAGAAACCCTGTCTCGAAAAAACAAAAAAAAACCCCTCTTTTCCCATGTAACTGCAGCTGGCAGAAACAAAAACAAACAAAAAACCCAGTTGGCTCTGAGAACATTGCATGACAGCCCTTGTGATGGCTGTCTTTTCTCTGCCAGGCTCCGCCTCTCGGAAAAAGTGACGATTAAGTCACAACTTTTCATTCCGCTACTCGTTATTCTCTGCACACCGATGACCACGAGAGCCACAGAGACAGCTCGTGGCAGCCACCAGCCAGCAGTCTGCGCTTTGGTGACCATAAAGCCCTTCCCACAGCTGCCAATGCCTCCCTCTGTCTGCTCAGGTATGCCGGGTACCACACATTTCAGTAGGACGGGCGTGAAACCTTGGTGAGCCACCCTGAGCTTAGCAACCCTGTCTCTCTGGGAAAGATGCCCAAATGTTTTTAAATGAGAAGCACCGTTCACTCCATCAGGATCTATCTGCAGCCCGAGGTCAGTTCTCGTAGTAGGTACTTAAAGCTGCTGTGACCACAATGTTAGAGGGAAGAAAGATTGGCTCGTGGTTCTGGTCCATCGTGCTGTGGGAGACATGGCAGGGTCCACTGCTCCTGCAGAGCACGTAGCTTAGGTTCCTCAGGTCAGGAATGACCGGAAAGCAGAGCGAGCCTGAACTCGTAGTGAAGGGCTTCCAGCAGTAAGGCCACACCTTCTGCAGGTGCAAGCAATGAAACATGAGCCTGGAGGCACGGGGGGGGGGGGAGGCACTTTGGATTCACACTCCAAGCTCCTTTGTCATGCTGGTCCAAGGAGTCTAGTTTAGGGAAACCAATCTTGTCACGGCTGCCTTGTCCTAAGCAAAGAAGGGGAGAGCCACTTCTGTATTTTTCCAGCCTGGTTGGGCAACTGAGGTCAAATCCCACTTTGCTGGGTGCCGCCGTCCACACAGATGTTCTGGGGGAGGTGACACCCTGATATCCAGCAGACTGACACAAAGATGGAGCCTTTGCTCTGGCTGCTCCTGGACATGAGGCTCTCGGGTGGCTTTCCCAGAAAGGAACTAAGATGCTTGCAGCCCCTCACCTTTGGGCTGTGTGTTCAGATAACTCCTATTTGCGCAAGCCACTTGCTGGTGCTCTTGGGCACTGCAAAGAGGAGTCAGTGGCCGGTGCTGGGGAGATGTCCAGCCTCGGCAACAAGGCAGACCCATGCTGGTGACGGGGAAAATATCATGGGTGGAGCAAAAGACCCCAAGCGATCCCAGCACCCCGGCCCGTGTTTCACCCACGGCCCTCCTGTTGTGTCAGTTAATTTTCTCATCTCTGGAAAATACTGACAGAAGCAATGTAGGGGACACTTTCATGGTAATGTTCATAGTAGCAGGAGTGACTTTTGGCCATGGTGGCCACAGGGGTTCCCAACTGTGACAGCTTTACTCACATTTCCACGGCCAACCAAGAAGTAGGAACCTTGGTCCAGGCTGGGTGCCTCCCACCCCATGGTCCTCTGTCTCCCAGCTAGATCCCATATCTCAAAAGAGTACACAGTGGGGACTGGAGAGATGGCTCAGTGGTTACAGTGCTTGCTGCTCTTGCAGAGAGGTCCTTGGCTCAGTTCCCAGCACCCACATGGTGACTCACACCTGCCCGGAGTAGCTACAGTTCTAGGAGCTCCAGCGCCCTCTTCTGGTCCCCTCAGGCTCCTGCACTCACGTGGTGCACTGGAACTCATGCAGGTGCTCACACATACAGATAGATAGATAGATAGATAGATAGATAGATAGATAGATAGACTTTTTGAAAAAAGACGTTCTCTACCTGAGGACCAGATGTCCACATTCATGTAGGGGGACACTGCACCCTCACACCACAGCACTTCTGAACTTTGGAGGGCAACTTAGAAGGGCAAAAACAAAAGCATCCTGCATGGTAAGGACTCCTTCACTAGGCCTGGAGAGACTGTCCGGGCCTTCTGTGTCTAGCCTACTTCCACACACTTTATTATATTGAGCGGCCTCCGAAGGCCTCAGCTCAGGCTTTTCCAGAGCCTGCCCTACCCTGTTGCCTAGGCAGACACAACCTTCTCCACCTGTGCAGGGTTCTCCATAAACCCCTTAAGGTCATGGAACTATTAGGAGGAACCCTAATCCCCGCTCCCAACAGCGGGCTTGACAGGACTTCTTTCTAGAAACCTTGCTACCGGCCATGGGCGGGGAAGGCACTGAGAGTGGATATGCTAAGCACCAATTGCATCTTTACCTTGAATGCCCTGGCGCACAGTAGGTTTGCATCCAGCATTAGGATCCAGGGGCGCATGGCTGGCATCATATTCCCTGATCCTCGCACCATCCAGCAGGACAGAACCCTGGATGCACCCATGCTGGCCAACTGGCCCTCCCCTAAGATGAAAGCAATGAGTTTTCTCCCAAGTCCTTAGCGGAACCCTGCTGTCCTTGGCGGCTGGGCTTGAGCTCCAAGTGTACCATCTGTGGCTTTCTGAGCAGGGTGGAGCAATGGGGGAGTCACACTCTCCTAAGGAAATGTTCTGTGTTTATTGAATTCATTCACCTCCTGCCAGTCAGGAAACCCTCACCTCCTGCCAGTACTTCTGGCTCTCTTTGGCCTCTAAGTCACTGCCAGGTCCGATCGATACCGTGTAAACAGCTTTGTCCTGAGTTGTAGGCTGTCCTTCCTGGTTTGGGACATAATCCATAATTCAGCTCCCACTCCTTGGTTCCACAGGAGCCAGGGGGTTTACTAGGGAGAGGGGTGCATGGTCAGGACCCAAGGTGTGGCATTCTTGGATGGTTCTGGAAAGCAATAAGGACTTGTCTTGCAGGGTGGCAGCTGCCCTGATGGTGATAGATGCAAGGCCTCTCTCCCCGAACCTCAGGTAGCTAAACCTTGCTGATCTCGTGTGTCTCAGCTGCCCTCACGTCCCTGTCTGTCAAGCTTGCTGAAGACAATTTGTTAAGAACCATCAGCTCAGCCCATAATGAGGCTCGGCCTTTCCATTCCAATTCCGGTTGGGGGTGTTACAGGAAAGCCGACTTTCCAGGGATGCTCAGGCATGGCCGTGCTGTATCCTGGCAACCAGATCCAAAGCCAAGTCCTCCTGAGATCCCGGCTCGGGTCCAGCACTGGGTAGGGTTGGGGGGATGGCCACACACAGGTTGCTTTCATTGTTCTGTCTCCTCCTTGCCTGATTTATCCCTAGCAGACTCTGAACTGTCCTTGGTGTATAGAGGTGCTAGCTTTCCCTCTTATCTCCCTGGGGGGTCCCAGGACACTCCTTGGCTATAGCCTTAGCTTCCCATTTGTAACATGTGTGGGATACTGTACCTCCACTTATCTACCATGGACCCTTGCTGTAATAAGGACTTTACCCATCATAAGGCAAGCAAGCACTCTACCACTGAGCTATATCTCCAGCCCCCTCTTTTTCATCCAAGGCTCAATCTTCTTAGGTCAGGCTGACCTTGAACTTGCAATCCTTCTCCCTCAGCCTCCCAAGTATCCAGGATTACAGGCATGTGCCACCAGGCCTGGCTACCTATAAAGTTATTTAAAAGCAATAGCTGTTAAGATGACAGATGGGGCAGGGTTAAGGCAGAATTCCAGACATGAACCTCCGTGGTCCCTCACCATATTCCTGGGCTCCTTTCTCTGCTGTTCTGACACAGGAGCTGGAAGAAGGCTCACATTTCATTCTCAGCCAGGCCCTTCTGCCCCAAGTGGGTCCCTTCTGTAGAAAGACATGTGATCCAGGGCCTTCCTTTGCCATGGAGTTCTGTTGAAGAAACCCATCTTGCTCAATCCCACGGACCGCCCAGCTCCACACTCTATAGCGATGCTCTGGGCAGACCAGCCCCAGGCAGGCGGTGGTCCTTACCTGCAGTCTCACCCTTGGGATTGCTAGGAATCCCCTTGCATGCTTTACCGGGAATGACCTCACCAGACAGGGAAGCTGGGCTTCTCTTACAACCTCTTTGAGAGTGATTCTATTTTCCAAAGATTGCCCGATGTGAGAATACAAAAGGCCCGCCTCTTGTTTCAGTTTGGAGGGACTCCAAAAGGGGAATTCCAGCTCTGGAGATCCCCGAATCCAGTTACCACCCTCCCCCCCCCC